TAAGAGTTTTTAAAGAATTTTTATTTCTTTTTCACCGTCTGCATTCGCTTGTCTTCTCAGCATGGATGTTTAATCTTTCTAGGCTTTGTGAATTGGCCCAAATGAATAAGTGGTGAGCTGTCTCTCTAGGAGCTAGCGGCTTATTCTAAGGCCCTAATCACTGAGTAAACACATCTTTGCCCTCCCTCTCTTACAACTGCTATATAATAGTGGAGATTCTAGCACAGTAACCTGGATATTGCAGGGATCCATGCTTTGAAATGCAGAATGGCTGATCCTCCAAAACAGACAGTGCCTGATCTTCTCCTGCTGCTTTCTTCTTTTTTAAATTAAATATCACCACAGAGATGCTGTTTTATTGCCTGATATTGTGCATTAGTGCCCTGGATTTTCAAGTTTAGTTTCAGTCAACACTGTTGGCTGCACTTATATGGAACTGTGCATGTTAGGCTTAATGGTGGCCTTTCCTGGCACATGTGTACTTGGTTTTGAATCACTTTTTTAAATTAAAAAAGACAAACATTAATGTAAATGTCTAATCCCTTCTCCAAAGTCTACTGTTCAAATGTACTATACTTTAAAATAGATTTTAGGACTTCCCTGAACCCTGTTCTCTTGCACAGTCTTAAAATAAATGAATTGTTATAAAATTGCCCCCCACATATTCAGCATATTTATTTAAGCTGAAATTTTTTAGATAGTTGAATGCATTGGCTATGATCCAAAGATCTACTTTAGGCAAAACCATGGGTTTGGGCATGCCTAGTGTTATTTTTTAACCTTTCAGTGGTAGACCTCCGTGCTGTATTGCAAACTGTTTTTGAAATTTCAAAACTTGTTTATAATGCAGCATGGGTGCTACTGTTTGAGAAACACACGTCATGACCACTTGGATGTGTAAAGCTGGTTGCATCCTGGCCATCTTCTTTTGGAGGGAATATACCTTGAAAAAAGAAAAGGTTGCATAAATGATACTGAGTATCACTCTAAGGAAATAGAAATATTAGGTTAGATCCTAAAGCTTTCTCTGGGTGGAACGGGCTTTTTCTTTCCTTACTCTTTCCCACACTAACTTTGTGGACAAAAACCTTTATGGGGCAGGAACTGCAGTGAGGAGAATCTGTTGCTATCAGCCCTCCTCCCTCTTGTGATAGTAGAAAACAAGTAGGATCCAGCTCTTTGTAATATACTCCAACGTTTGGTGGCAGAATATTGCCCCTTATATCCTGTTACTCAGAACTTCCTGAAAGAGTGTTGCCCTGACAAACTAGTTTATTGGATCTGACCAGTTGTTCTGCTGGTTAAAAAGGGAAGAGGAGTCCCCTTTGACCACCAAAAAAGAGAGAGGCTATAATGGAAATAATAGCAACTGCATAGATAGCAACCGTGTGGGATATAGTGCAAATGGAATTAAGTGACACCGAGCAAAGTTGGTAGGATCCAACACAATATCAGTATTATACTGTGAAATTAGTACTCAAGTTTAATAAGATTTTACTGAATTTCCACCATTTAATTTAATTTAAACTGATTTTCATGACTTTTAAGATTTCATTTTAAATAAAATGGAAGAGAAGAGAGTAAATGTTACTTTGGGTCCGCACTGGGGTATAAATGAAGTAAATAAAATTATTTATTTATTTATTTATTTATTTATTCATTAATCACATTTATACGCCCTCCCCACAATGCAGGCTCAGGGCGGCTCACAGTCAGTACATAAAATACAGTTAAAACCACATAAAACCATATAAAACAATTCCATTATTAATACAGTTTAATAAAGTGCTGAAGATGGTTACTCAAGATGGCTTATTTCAGTGTACTCTCTAAAAATCCTTCTGCCCAAGATCTTCCTGCAGCTCAGGCTGGATGTTAAAACCAAGAGCCAGGACTCTATAATGGTGGCAGCACCCTAGCTGAAAGCCTGGCAGAAGAGCTCCATCTTGCAGGCCCTGTGGAACTGCAAAAGGTCCTGCAGGGCCCTGAACTCCTCCAGGAGCTCGTTCCACCAGGTTAGGGCCGCCACCGAGAAAGCCCTGGCCCTGGTAGTGGGGAGCCTGTCCTCTTTTGGGCCAGGGAGGGTTAATCAATTTTGAGATCCCAACCAAAGTGCTCTCTGGGGTATATATGGGGAAAGGCGGCCCCGCAGGTATGCTGGACCCTGGCCATAAAGTGCTTTAAAGGTAAGAACCAGCACCTTGAAGTGGATTCGATATGCTATTGGCAGCCAGTGCAGTTGCAGCAGAGGCCGGATGTGCTCCCACTTGGGGAGACCCATCAAAAGCCTGGTTCCAGCATTCTGCACTAGCTGCAGCTTCCGGATCTGCGACAAGGGCAGCCCCATGTAGAGAGTGTTACAGTAGTCTAGTCTCAAGGTGACCATAGCATGGATCACTGTTGCTAGGTTGGCACGGTCGAGGAAGTGTACCAACTGCCTGATCAGGCAAAGATGGTAAAATGCCGACCTGGCAGTGGGCACTACCTGGGCCTCCACTGTTAGGGAGGCATCCAGGAGCACTCCCAAACTCCTAACCTCCGGTGCTGGCATCAATGGCGCCCCGTCAAAGGTCAGGAGGGGGAACCCCACCCCCGAACCTCCCTGACTCAAGCACAGGACCTCCGTCTTCCTCGGGTTCAGTTTCAGCCGACTCAGCCTAAGCCAACCAGCCATGGCTTGCAATGCCCGGTCCAGGTCTTCTGGTCTGGAGTCAGACCGGCCACCCAACATCAGATGGAGCTGGGTGTCATCGGCATACTGGTGACATCCCAGCCCATGCCTCCGGGCAATCTGGGCAAGGGGGCACATATAGATTTTAAATAACATTGGGGAAAGCACTGCCTCTTGAGGCACTCCACATTCCAGTGGATGCCTCTTGGACTGCTGTTCCCCTAGCGCCACCCTTTGTCTTCAACCTTGGCGAAAGGAAGCAAGCCATTGTAAGGCAAACCCCTGAATTCCTATGTTGGCGAGGCAGCGGGCCAGTAGCTGATGGTCAACCATGTTGAACGCCGCCAACAGGTCCAGCAACATCAGCACCGCCGATCCGCCTTGATCCAGATACCTACGAAGGTCATCTGTGAGGGCAACCAGTGCTGTCTCCGTCAAATGACCAGGGCGAAAGCCACACTGTAAGGGGTCTAAGATGGAAGCGTCATCCAAAAAGCTCTGTAGCTGACTCACTACCTCCCTCTCTGTTAATTTGCCCAAATAGGACAAATTGGAAACCGCCCGATAGTTGGCCAATTCAGCCAGATCCAGAGATGTTTTTTTCAACAGAGGGCAGACCACTGCTTCCTTAAGCATCCCAGGGAACTGTCCCTCAGTGAGGGACTTGTTGATAATCTCCTTCAGGGTGCCTTGAAACCCCTTCACAGCTGGCTTTAATTAGCCAGGATGGGCACGGATCAAGGCAGCATGTGGTAGGGCGAACAGCTAGGAGCACTTTGTCAACTTCCTCTAGGCTGAGTGGGTTGAAATAATCCATAACTGGAATCGAAGACATGCATGGAGCCTCAAGCTCACTCACTGTATCAACTGTGGCGGGGAGGTCGTGGTGGAGCAACAAGACCTTATCCATGAAATAGCTCGCAAATGCCTCACAGCCTGTGTCCAGTTCCCTAGCATTTGGTCTGCCCTGTGGCAGAATAGTTATAGACCGAATTGTTCTAAATAATTGGGCTGGGCGTGAGCTTGCGGACGCAATTGTGGCCACATAGTACTCTCTCTTCATGGCTTTGACTGCCATCTCATAGGATCTCATAAATGTCCTATAGTTTCCCCTCCCCAGGAGCACCAGAATCCCTTGGTCCAACATCACTGTGCCTAGTGGTCTCCGCAAACCGGCCCGCTCCTTCAGACCGGTAGCAGAGCAGATAGCAGAGCACTCAGTATTGTAGGCACCGATGGTAGCATGCAACATACAATCCTGCTAATTGAACAATTACACAGACCTATCCTACCACAGAATAAATAAATTAACTCAACTATGTGTAAATGTAGTTCTGCATCCAATAGTTTTGGTGGTGGTCCATCTTCTCTGATATGTTGCTGGAAGCTAAAGAGAAATCCTAATAAAGTAGTGTAAGTTTATTAAACTTATTGTAAGCTTTAAAAAATTTTTCATTTAAAAATGATATTGTAACAAAAGACAAAATGTTGTTATGAAGGAAACGTAAATATACAATACAGTCTAATTAATGCAACTTCCTGGGAAAACAAAGTATTTTAGATATTTAGAGTTTGGAAACAGCATCTTATTATTCTTATAGGATCATACCAGATACTTATATGGGCAGACAATTGTGTTAATTGTTTTGATTACAGGGGTTACAGCATGCACAATTGACACCATTCCATAGACAGATGGGGTGAAGCTACACACTTGGAGAAACACAGGACAGCCACTGAAAACATTTCCATATTGAGTTCTCCCCCTATAATAGTATATAGTAAAACCTTTGTCCTGATGCCATCACACTAAAATCAGCCCTTGAACACAGTTCTATATTGCATTTTAGTGATCATGAGAAAATCTATATGTTTTCTTTGGCTTACATCCACTGGAAATTTCATGGCAACTTTCTTTCCTCCCTTGAAGTGCATCCCCAAAATGACCCCTGAAATGCTGCTTTTGGGGGACAGAGGACCCCCTAGGAACAAGATGGGGGGGCTGAGGTCTGCAGCATGAGGAGACCTGCTTGTGATGTTAAATAACCTAGACATTTAAAAGTAAAGTTTTTGGCAGTGGGTTCTTAGTTGCAAGAACAGGTAACTTTCTCTCTAAACTCCATTGAAGCATACAGTTGTTTATATAATAGTACCATCTATGTGATCTGTGAGTGAGATGTGTGAACATAATCTACTGAAATTAATTATATACTTCCAAAATACTCATCGAGCACTGAGATGTAAATTGCATTTCCACATGAGTCAATGTTATGTATGCTGCAATTAAATATAAGCATCATGCCAATTAACATTTTTTTCTGTTTTTCAGAGAAAGCTTCTTGCTGTCTACCTCCACCACGATGAAAGTGTGCTAACCAATGTATTCTGTTCTCAAATGCTTTGTGCCGAGTCTATTGTTTCCTATCTTAGTCAGAATTTCATAACCTGGGCGTGGGACATGACAAAAGAAGCAAATAGAGCAAGGTAAGTGAGTTTGAACTGTTTCATACTGCTTTGTCTATTTAAGTCATAAATATGATAGTTTGGGCTGACTCTGTTGGCAGAAGATTCTCACTTAGCAGAAAGAAAGTCTCTAGCTTGCATTTGCTGGAGAATTTCTGTGAACGGAAGGGATTTCCTTCAGCAAAGCACCAGGCAGACAAGGGACCCTAAGAAACAGCAGGAGGGGGGAGCTGGAGGTCTGCAGAATAAAGGAATTGGTGAAAATCACCCCCCTCCATCTGCAGAAACTTTCCAGTGCATTCAAGCCCATGAATCTAGTCCTATATTGTTGCATAGTGGTTGATTAACAGTGCCATCCTAACCTGAGTCATACCCTTTTAAGTTCATTGACTTCAATGGACTTGGCTTGAAATCTGTTTATGATGGCACTGTTAGTAAGTTTATGCTAGCAAATGTTCTCACCCATTGTATATCCTGTTTCCCATCTACCCTCACCTCCTAGCCCACTGTCTTCATCCATTCTATGGAAGCTAACAGGACTCCTCCTACTTTTACCCCAAGGAAAATGAGGAAGAAGTTACTGTGAGGGGTGTGGTGAACTGAGTAGAGTGAAAAGTGCTATAGCTGTGTTATGTCCTGCTTCTTCCAAGCATTTGAAGGCACAGTCATAATCCTCCAGACTAAGGCCAGAAAATCTATTCTCTTTGGCCAAAGAAGAAGTATGATGAACCTCATGAGAAAGGTGGGGCAGAGATCCCTAAGATCTGAAGTGGAGAGTCAAAATGAAAAGATTGACTAGGAGAATAAAAGCTGTGGGATGTAATAGCATCATTTTGCCTAAGGGGCACTTTTAAGGTACTTGCAATTCACCCCCCACTCCCATATTTTGAAGTATATACATACCATATTGTATTTATTTATATACTAGGCACAAAGCTCATTGTAGCTGCAAGACAATGAGCGCTAGAAGGGCATGATGGCAATTGTCCTCATAGTGCAGGTCTCACTGGGAACAAAAGTGGGGCCAGTTGGAGTGGCGCCCTCGCGCAGGGCTCCTTCCACGCCATCCTCCTTACCCCCTGCACCGTCGCTCAACCCCGCCTGTCCCACATCAGGTCCTTTGGCTGGGAGGGAAGGGAGCCTGGCCACAGGCTGCTTCTCCTCAGCTTGCTGCTCATCTGCCAGGAGAAGAGGAAGGAGGGGGCTGCATGCGCCAAGGACAGGGAGGCGAGGCAGAAGCCCCCTCTTCTCAGCCAGGCATGCCAGCAGCCGTGACCCCGGAGCATCTCCCGGCCCACCCCCGCTGTCCCAAAAGGAGATGCTGGGGGCGATCAGAGGAGACATGTCAGGCTACAGCAAGGCGGGCTGACCCCCAGCCTGACACAGCGGGCAAGTGTCATCCTCAGCTACAGCCTGCCCCAGCTGTAGAGACAGGAGGCGGGTGGGAGGAGACGGAGCAGGAGCAGCCGGTGGGCCTGAGCTGAGAGCCATCACCCAGGAACTGCGTGTGGCAGGCCATGCCCCCAGATAATCCATAGTCATTGAGGCGCGCCACGCCCCCGAATGGGGGGCCCTTTATCATGTGGCATTCAAGTGGTCCAGAGTGGGCGGCCCGCTCCTTCACGAACTCTCCTTTGCTGAGCATGGTGCGTCCCCACCACTGGGCCTGGGATGGGAGGGAGGTCCTGGCTTTCCCGCCGGTGGGCAGGTGCCCCTCCAGTGAGCACTCAGCCAGCTCTCTGTCTTCTGCCGGGGCCACACATGGCGAGCCGCGGTGATGGGGGCCCTTTGTGGCTCTGTGCTGTCTCGCCCTGTTCCCCCGTTGTGTCACAGTTGCCTTCCTTACCGCCCACCCGCCGGAACGCCCATCTCGTCCCTCGGCTCCCAGCACACTGAAGGCGAGACTCCATTACCTTCGGCCGCTCCATCGAGAGTGAGAGCGAAATGGTGGCTGCAGACTCCGTGGGCGGGACCAAGCCAATGCACCAAGACAATGCAGCCAGGGGATTGGGAGACCGTGAGAGGAGCAGCTGAGCGGGCCAAAGGCTGAGCAAGCATGTCCAGGAGTCACACCAAAACTCTTCTATATATAAGGAGAGATTTACTTCATTTACACCACACCTTTTTCCCTAATGGGAACCGAAATTGTCTTCCTTCTCCTCCTGTGACGTAGGTTAGGCTGAGAGTGTGTGACTGGCCCAAAGTCATCCAGCAAGCTTCCATGACAGAGCGGGGATTTGAAGCTGAGGCTCAAAGATCCTAGGCTGAGTCTCTAACTAGTACAACACACTGGCTCTCAAGTGTAATATAAGAACCAAACCTTTGGTGTTAGTGGCTTATAACATACTGCATAAAACTAACTTTCGAGGTCTCAGTACTAAGCTACTTTGGGCAAGTTATGTGATATGAAAATCACCTGAAGTTTACACTACTTCTTAACGTGTCACTTGACTTCCATGACTACATTTTGTAGTCAAGCCATGATATCTAAAGGTCGAAATTGTAATACTCTCATATTGATATGACCATAAGACATTATAGGGCAGTTAATATTCTGCCAGCAATTATTTATTATTAAATTCATCCATAACAGGTGAAATATGCTTATTGTGTCATTCTTTGTAATACACTTTAAAGCATTATCAGATCTTTTTTTCTAATGTGATCTTAGGGTTGGGGTTAATAATTTGACTGTCGGATCAGGATCTGGGAGACCTAGGTTTGAATTCCCCCTCTGCCACGGAAGCTTGCTGGATAACCTTAGTCCAATCATATACTCTCAGTCTAACCTACCTCAAACTGTTTTTGTAAGGATAAAAAGGAGAAAGCCAAAATGTTGTGAACCATTTTGGGTCTCCACTGGGGAGAAAAGTGGAGCATAAAGTGAAGTTAAAAATTAAATTAATTGTTCTTAAAGCAATAATAGCTGAACTGTTTTTCATTTTTGTCAGTGTAATTTTATAGCTGAGTTTAATGTAATTATACAGAGAAGTTAAAGAATCACCTGAATGTGCCTTCCTATTCTTCTACAGTTTTATTTCATATACATTTTTTCTTTTGTACAATTGTGTCAATTGCAACTAATGGTATTTAAATTAAAACTGAAATACTCAGAATTAGTCCTTTACAATTCATAAGTATTTTGAGCCATTTAACATAATTTAAATTTTGATTGGCCTGTATTATGTTTTTGGTTTGTAAAACGATGAGGTGGGGGAGAGAAATATTATTAGTCCTTTACCATTCATAAAGTATTTTGAGTCATTTAATATAATTTTAATTTTGATTGGTCTGTATTATGCTTTTGGTTTGTAAAATGATGGGGTGGGGGAAAGAAAAATAATACTAAGAAAACAGATATGAATGAAGCATCTGTGATTCTTCAGGAGGCAAAATATGTGAGCAAGAGATTGGGTTAAATCGTTTAGTGCTGCTTTTCACCAGGAGCAAGGAGTTCCTCCTTTCCTTTTATCCCACAACTTAATGTTGAAGGAAACACTATTTCTAAAACCATCTGCAGTGGCTAAGTCCAGTCGATTACCTGCTGTTATTTTGTTCTAGTCACCGTTTAATTCTCCAGTTTCTTTTATTTTACAATGACAAAAAATTGCAGTGTAGTCTCTTTTGAAAAACCATGTTTGAGGGAGTTTTTTATGACTGACAATCAACAGGCATGTCATTGCTTTGTTGTGTTTTACTAAAGAAGTCTATTAAGTAGCACAACTTTGATACACTAGTAATAAGAGTTTGTAGGTTACAGAGACACCTGTGGTGACCAAAGCGACAGAAGCTGCTTATTAGAAAGAGTCTGTACAGCTGTGTCCTATTAACTCCTCATGACACTTTTAGAAACACTAAATAAAGGACTTGTTTAAGGCTTTATAGCTATTCTCAATGAATCTAGATTTTGAAATACAATAGGATGCTTAAGCTTACACTTTTTGGTTGTGGTGTCAGTTTGTGACAAAGGAAGTATCATGCTAGCAGAATAAGATTTTTAAATGGTTATGTGTAAACATAATGCAATTAGTTACTAATTTATGTGTAACAGTACAAATTACTCTTACATTGTGGGATTCTTATATTGTATGGGACTGTGAGAGGAATTACTAGCTGGAGACTGTGGTGTTTTTTTCATGTAAACCTCATGGTGTAATACTAGGGGTAATGTTTAAATGAATATCTTCCCAACACACACTATTAAAATTTCAACTGTTGGTTATTCCAGCTTTATGTGATATAAAATATCATTTAACATGCCAACAGGAATTTAATATAAGAGGAATTTAATTTTTAAAAACACATCTTTCCAATGCCAAAAATAGTGCAATGTTTTCAAGTTACCACATTCCTTTGTTTATGATCACCATAGACTTTTTGCCATGAACAAGTTGCTCTCTTGAGGTCTTTGTACCTAACCAGTAAATTGGAGTTAAATAGTAGCTAAAAAAAATCCCCCCCCCCCCAAAAAAATTCTATATTGCCATTTTCTGTCAACTGGTATACAGTGTAACATACAACAGAGGTATACAGTGTAAATAAAGCAATATAAATTATAATGAATCCATTTTTCAAACCATCAATTGAATATAAAATTTAGTCTACAAACTATCAATTACAAATATACCTATAAAATTTTCACCAATAAAAAGATACAAGCACCAATCATTCTCAATGTTTTCTTGAAAAGTTCACTGTTAACTAGGTACTGAGAAGCTAGACTGTATTATAGAATCAGAGACCATTCCTTTAGTTTCAGTCTTCATGATGCTTTACTGAAGTGCATGGATGTGGCTGATGTTGTGACTCTCTCCCATGAACTATCTGAGTCTCCAGGGCAATGTTTGCATGAGGAGATAAACACATAATTGTGGGGAGGGCGGGGTATGAATTGAATAAATTAATCCAGAAGTTACAGCTGCAACAACATAAAAATCATCCCCGAATCCTATCTCTGTACCAACACACCTGTGAAAAGTGTTAGGAAACTACAGCAGGTCTGAAATGCTGAAGCAATAGTG